GTGAAAGAAATCATCAGGAAAAAATCAAACCAAGCTTAATGTGCAAGATTACTCGTGGATAGATGGAGAGATTTTAAACAGCTTAAATCTAGGGGGAAAAAAAAATCTAAGCTAATGCATGTCTATGGTTGAGGAACGTAGCAAATAAATCATTTTCACGCGCTGATCAATGCAGAAAGACCTGACGGACGTCGGCGTTGAGATTTTAAGCCACTTCGTTTCGCAAAGGAATTAATTGGTAATTCAAACTGCTGTTGCTGTTCCAGTAAAGGCATGCAAATAAGGCAGGAGCATGGACAACTAATGCGTCCAACAGGCAAATTAACAATACAGGCCTCTTTGCCATGCAAATAGCCTCTAAATCCACAAATGACATTAGACAGTGTCAAACAAAGCCTCTCTAACAAGTGAAATCTGTGGTTTCAACAATCTTGCCTCCCACTTCATTTAAAGCTATAGAAATACGATCCCAGAAAGCAGTGAAGACTTGATGTAATGTAACTTTTTTGTTAACTGAGCTTCTCCGTGGACCCCCTTCTCCCCAAAAAACCAAAAAAAAAATGTTTTAATTTGCTCTTGTTCCAACTGAGTGAATGTCAAGTCAATAAAGCAATTCTGATTTTCAAGGAGACTATTTGTTTTGCGGGAAAAGAAAAAAAACAAAACACCTTGCCACCATCTGCCAACTGCACAGTTGACTTGAGCACATGTACTGTACCTAATCAAATTTAGCAGAGCCCCACTGAAGGATTAAAATGCAAAAAAAAAAAGCAGAGAAAGAACGAGAAAGAACCTTAAATGCTTCTTCTTCTTTCTTTTTTTTTACTTCAATAAAGTAGCAAAGCACAATATGAGGGCCAATTTGGCTTTCAAGAAAGCAGTTCAATAGATTTGTATTTTAAACAGCTTTGTATACCATTATCTCTCTCTATCTCTCTCTCTTTCTCTTCCTCTCCCTCTCTTTCTCTCACTCTCTCTCTCTAATCAGGCATCTGTCACTCTGTTTTTGAAGTTATTATCGCCCAGGCTCCCTCTTGGATGTGGTTGCTGGGTGACGGGTATCTCGGCACCCACTCTGACTGGGAATGATTTGAATGGAATCCAGAAATCTCCCCTGAGTACCTGTAAACACATCCGTGCCTTGTAGAAAACAAATATATTATAAGAGAGCTCAGCAGAAGAGAGGCGGGAGAGAGACAAGCTGGCACCCTCAGTGGCAGCTCACACTGAGCGCTAAACAAAACAATTACCGTCATTTGCAAATATGTGTGTTTAGGCATAAACACTCTTGAAATAGGAACAAGAGAGGTGATAGCTCTCGTAGCACTCGCTGTCATATCAGTATCAATTAGACGCATTTGTTAAAGGAAAAAGGGGCTTTCGCCGTGACCTGTCACTCGTGACACTTCGGAGGAGGATCTGCTCGACTGAAACAAGGCAGGTAAAAATCTATTTAAGGGGAGCATGTAAGTGAAAAAGCCATCGCATTCCCAGCGGTGGGACATCGTCTGGGGCGTGTGGTTAACCTTCAGAGGTAGACAATGATTGTCAATTAACTGCTGTATTTCTTGCGCCCCAGCATCGGATAGCCTTGCCTCCACAAAGCACACCAATGAGAGATATGCGATATCAACTCCCCCCCCCCAAGTCCCGCTCCCGCCCCACCCTCCGTGTTATAATAACCTTTCAGAGAGTTCAAGTGTCACACAGCAATAAGAACCTTTTTCATCCCACCGCGGGGAAAATGAAAAGGAAAACAAGTAGCTGAAACAGAGGGCTCCTGGAGAGGCCAGAGTCATAATGTTGGGGTGGGTTAGGAGGTAGGGGTGTGTGTGTGTGTGTGTGTGTGGGGGGGGGGGGGGGGTGGATGAGATGGCAGAACCTGCATCAGTATGGGAGCAAGAGCGCAAGAGCGAACATGGCTAATCTGGCACGAGAGTCCTTAAGAAAATGAAGGGGCCGAGAATCGCTATATGCCGAGTGTCTTTAAAGATGAGCAATAATCACTACAGGGTAAGCAGACACAGTTTAAACACTCACTGTAAAACTAAGAACTTTAAATGAAAATGAATTCTAATTATTTAAATCTTTTAATAAAACACAGGAAAAGGGGGGGGGAAATCCAACATGGCCTTTGTGAACAGCTCTGCTTTTATTTTTATTTTTTTTTTTGAGTTGTGCTAAAGTAAGCATGGTGGGGAACAATTTGGTTGGAGCTTGTTTGTGTCCACATCAAAACTAAAACAGCGGGATGCAGTGGTGCTCTGTGATGCTATTCACATTCACACTGTGTACAAAATGAGACGAGTGTTGTTTTAGCACAATAGACTGTGGGAGGGGGGAAAAACAGCATGTGAAAAAGTAGGGCCCATTGTATAGGAGTATTATTCACTTCATTGTTATCACTCTGCCACTGTATAAAAAGAGTAGTGACATCGTGGTAATGGGGAGAGATGAAAAGCTAAACTATCTCGGGCAGCGGGCTGTTGTTGTGTAACCTGAGTGGGTTAACCGGTGAACTCGTCTTTTTATCTGGAGAGAGCACAAACAGCAAATAAAGAAATAAAACGAGAGCAAATACTTCGGAGAGGGGACCTGTTCTCACCTACGGGGCAACCCGCGTCCCCGTGACTCGGGCCGATCATTTTGTCACTAGCTATTCAACGACAAGGAGAGCAAAGCACACATCCCCGCAAATAAAATCAAACTCTTTCTAAGTAACAGAAGCCTTTTATCCAGCGGATGCCTCGCTCTTCCATGATGTAATTCTCCAAATGGGGCAGGCAGGCAGGCAGGCCGGGTCTGAGTGATTGATTTCAGCCCAGCACAGGGAGAACCTGGCTGCTTTCAGAGACAATTACAGTCCTGTCCATGTGCCTGTAATAGCCCAGCACTTTAGCGTCATTAAAGCGACGCGAGGCACTGCATTATCCTTTAACCCCATCGCTGGCCATCCCCCCATTGACAACCCGGAGAGTTCAACCACGTACTTTGTCACCTGAAGCCCCACGCCAGGCTTGAGAGGAGGATCACCGCACTGTATGCTTCTCTCTGCGGAGTGTGTGTGCGTGTCTGGAGTGTGTGTGTGTGTGTGTGTGTGTGTGTGTAGTTAATGTACTGTCTTGTGTGAGTCCATAATATTGCTGCATGTGTTTTGGGGGGGGGGGGGGGGGGGGGGGGGGGGGGGGGGGGGGGGCTCTGCTCTCTTGACGCTTTATGTAAATGAAGCTTAAGCGCCAAAGTGCACAGGTGAGATTTTTGAGACGACTGCAAGTGGGATGGAAACATAAGACTGCAGCATATTTATACGGGAGAATAAAAGGGGGGTGTTTACTGATAGCATAGACTGCAACACAATGCTGTAACATAAATTTAAACATCTGAAGTGCACGACAAGCAGCCTCGTCACTGTAATAACATCACTCTCAGACTTCCTCCCAGTGCGCTGCATGCTATTTGATTTATTTTTTTTCTTTCGTTTGTTTGTTTTTCTGCTGTTTTTTTGCCCACATGTACCTTTTTAGTTACAGCAACACTTTGAGGCTTCAAATATACTAAATGTTAACACTTGTGGATTTCTTAATGACACAAACTGGCAATAAAGAAGAAGAAGAAGAAGAAAAAACATGCTTGCGCAGCAACTTGTGTGTACGCGTCTGTGTGAATATTTGCACGCTGCATCCGAAACTCTGAATTAAGTTCGACCTCACACGGTTGGGGTTTTTTCTGGAGGGGACAAAAAATAGGGGGAAAAAAAGAGGATGCATGCTTTAAAAACTGAGACTCAAAAGTGTTTATTGCTACCCCTCCTCCCCTCCCCAACTGATGTGAGCCTTTCCATCATATTTGCATTTCCAGCTCATTTCTAGAGCCAGGAGATCAATATGGAATCAATCATACTGACAGGTAAGATGGTAAATTTGACCAGGCTGAACCATCCTGTGAGACTGAGCGATACATCAAAGCTAGGAGCAACAGGACAATAATATTTTTTTAAAGGCTTTTAATCAAATATTGATCTTCGCTTTAAATCACACTGATTTTAAGATATTTTTTAAAAAACTCCAAAAATAACTGAATGGGTCAAAATGGTTTAATGTATTTATTTAAACACTCGTAGTCCTTTGCCTCATTTGATTTAGTGAAATCAAGTATGTTTAATTAAGACAGATAACTGAGTGCTCTCATGAATTATCCTTAGCACTTACAGTGTGCAAAAAGAAAAGAAAGCTCCTCCATTAGTGCACTGTAACCTCCCTGAGAAATGTCATCAATACTAAAGGGGGGTGAAAAAAAATCATACAAGAAAAAAGCTGGCCCTTTTATTTTTTTTAATACTCTGATTCCTTCTTGTTTACTGTCTGAAAACTCAAGTTCTAATTGAAATCATGCTACCCCCTGTGGCAAGGACATATAATGAGGCATAGCCTAGTTTTATTTCAGTCATTAAAAAATAAAATTGAGCTAAAAGCTGTCTAAAATTAAACAGAAATTGGAGTTTTAAAAAAAAGAAAAGCAAAGATGAGAGGCTCTTATTTGTAGTTGTATCTTTGTGGTGGCAGCTGTATAGCGAAAGTTTATTCAACAGCACTGTGAAACTCAACCAGGGTGTAGCCTACATTATCGATTCATTTGTTCAGAGGGAGACAGGCTATCCATCACGACACAGCTTTGCCTTGCACGTGTTAAAAAACTTTCACTTAACTTTTCCCCTCTCTCTTTACCACTGGTGAAGTGCGCCGGTCTCTTCCTGCCCAAACACACCAGCCTCGGTGTTTGGGATGGAGTTTGACACACACACGCGCGCATTTTCACACACTCCTTGTAGGAATCAATTATTAAATTCGGCTAAGACAATCGTACGACTCTGACCGCTTGTTTTGCAAAGGCAAAATGTCTCCCCCTTTCTAGCTCCTGCGCCTTTACGCACGGCCGTGTGTGCGGACATTTAAACCCCCCAAAAAGAAAAAGGAAAATCCACAACAGAGCTCGCCACTAACCTCGCATTGGTGCAGTCGTTGTACAGGGTCTCGAAGTCTTTTCTGGAGATGAGTTTACAGCGGTTCACGCCGGGCTGGATGGCGCCGAGCCCTCTGAGGATGCGGACCTGCTCCACATTGCACACCACCGGCGTGATCTCGAGCCGCTTCAGCTTGGTGTAGACCGTATGCAGTCCGCCGACCAGGTGCTTCAGGAACAGGTCGAAAGCCTGAGGAAGGCAGATGAGCTCGCAGCCGTCCACGGTGAAAGAGGCGACTTTGGCACCGCGCAACTCGACCATCTTGCACTCGTTGTTTTGCGGTATGTTTTCAACAGGCGACGGGGTCGAGTACACGGGTTTGCTCGGGGGGAGAGCCGCGGTTGGGGTCGGGATGCCCGGGCTGCTGGTTGCGAGGAGCTCTGATCTGAACAGGTTCTGTCCGGGTCCCGATGGGGGGGCCAGGGATGGAGATGGTGATGAAGTTGTCGACGGCGGGGACGTCGTCGCGGAAGGAGTCGAGATTGGAGGCGGTGGGACCAGAGGGTTTGGTGGGATCAGAGCAGCCGGTACGGCCATGGTCACCTACAAGAGGGGAAGAGAGTAGCCGAAGTTCAAAGTAGAAAACCCAGCCTGCCGAGATACCCCTAAATGAAAGAATCCACGAGAGTTTAGCTCCTCAGATAAGTTGGAAAGTAAAAAGAGCTACCGAAAAAAAGGCGTGCTGAGTGAGGGTTTTTTCTTTTGGGGAGGGGGGCGAGCGGCGGGACAATGATCAAAGATAGGAGGAGGAATGACAGGAGGAAAATGAGCTGAAAAGTGCAGCTCCGCTCTGTGGATGAGTTGTTGTTGTCACACGGTACAGAGAGGGAGGAGCTAGGGGACAGTGGGAGCCTTTGAAGAGCAGATAACTGGGCTCCGGCCACTGCTCGCACGTTTCACGTCTGTTAAATGATTTCATTGCCCAAAGTAAATACGTTTATGCTGGATCATAAGTTGTAAAGAAAAGCGTATGTTTAAAAAAAATAGTTTTTAAATCCCTTTTTGCCAACATTAATGCAAAGCTCACTTCACCTATGGCGATCAAGATTGGGGTAATGTTTTTTTTTAACTTTTGCTTTCATTTTCGTGCAAATACTAAAACAATTTTTTTTTATTAAAAAAAAACCCTCAAATGCTTAAAAAAAACCCTTTTAATTCGCACGTTATTTTTGGTAATTTTTGTCATATTTACCAAGAATGCACGCCAATATGAATCACTGTTCAGCCGACTCCATCTGTGAGGAAGGATGTTTGGTCTTTTTATGTGCACATCCAAAGTGGCTGTAACTTTTTGTCTTGTGAAATATTTTTTTGTAAGAAATATGTGCAGTTAATTGCATATAAAGCTTTCATATAT